GCGTCAGGCCGTTGCTCCCCGTGGAGGTGATTGGGCCAACCGACTTGGTCCTGTCGCTGCATTTGGCTACGAAGCGGGGGCGTCGAACAGTTCGATGCTTTTTGACTACTTTTCTCAGTCCCCCGTTGACTGTGACCACTACGCTGAACTTATTTTTCATGATAGCGGTCCTATCGAATGTCCCCCTGAAACTGTGTTGTTTATGCCCGTATTAAAGTGCGGACATATGCTGGAGCGTGCATCTGTGACTCCCACTCCAACCAGCGACGACTGGTACATGGCTGCTCTCGAGGCGACGACGGAATTATTGGAAAAAGGGTACATTCCAGCCAGCGTTGGAGGAGATGGATCTGCTACATTGCCCATGGTAGAGGCGTACAAACGGCTATTTCCATCTGAAGATGTTGTCGTCATCCATTTCTCCGCCCAGCCACTTGTCGGAAATGCACGCGCCCCGCTACGGGTTCTTTTGGACAAGGGATTGTTGAAGGGCATCGTGAGTGTAGGCAATCGTTTGGTAACCTCGGAGGATCGAAAGATACGGAAACACCACAAAATGTTTTATATGGACATGCACGCTATTTATTCCAAGGGGTTGTTCTGCATTCGGGATATTCGAAATGACTACCCCGTTTTTATCAGTATCGATGCCAATGTCATGGATCCCGCCTTTGCTCCAGCTGTGGCATGTCCCGTTGCTGGAGGGCTATCCACACGAGAATTACTGCATGTAATGAATGGCATTCGGGGACCCAAGGTGGTGGGGTTGGACGTGCATGGGTACTTCCCTGATTTTGACGTTTGCCGAAAGGACGGCATTGGCCTCACGCAAATAGCATTGGCGAAGGTGCTGAAGGAGGCGATTCTTAAGGCATACAGCATCTCCACACAAACTGAGGAGGAGGGAATGGCAAGGGTTAAAATGCTACAACGGCAGGGAACCGTGTCGGAAAACCCGTACCCGGATCATTGATGTCATCCCACGGAAGATTTCGCGAGTCTCTGTATTCTTGCCGCACTGTGGAAGATATAAATTGTTTTGTGTCCTACCTGAGCACAACTGTCTTGGCTTCGTTGGATGTTTCTGGTCTCTTGTTTTTTTTTTTTTTTTTTTTTTTTTTTTTTTCATTCTCTGTGTCTGCGTCTACATGTTCCTTTTACAGAAGTGAGTTTAAATAAAATCATAATAAGAGAAAAGAAAAAGGAAAAAGGAAAAAAAAAATGGCCGATTCAAATGCCGTTACTGTTCAGGAGGATTTGTGTGACCTCCAGACGCAGTTGGAGCAGCGGCGTAGCCAGGCAAGAAATCTAGAGTTGCAGGTGGCACGGAAAGAGGCTGAGCTTCGTCGTGCTAAAGAGGAGCAGGCACTTCTCAAGGAGCTCCGGATGGTGAATGAAGTAACACTACGCAAGAAGCAGCAGAAGGATGACGCACATGACAATACACGGCTTAAAATATCATTGGAGTCATTGACGCAGGTCATTTCTCTGGAGGATGAAATCAAACATGAGAACAGACGGACGGCGGAATTACAGGATTCCGCCAACGTCATAACTCGTCAGATGGAAGACGTGGAGAAGGGCATTGAGAATGTCGTCAGCCGCCTGGCGTTGGTAAGACAGGTCACAGGGCGGGATGGGAGGGAAAATGCTCTTCTCAGTGGGCCAGCTACTACAAGTGAATGGATCATGCGGAAGAAGAATCTGACTGCCCTTCATGAAGAGCAAAATACGGTGAAGGCGCTCTCTGCTTTGTTATCTGAGCGCATTGAGGCCATCAATAAAGAGATGGAGGAGCAAAGGCAAAAGGCAGAGCAGCTTGCCGCGGCAAAACAGAGTTTGGTGGAAACAAATAAGGAATACGATGCGCTTCTCGAAGAGATGAAATCGATGGAGCGACTCATTAAGAAGAAGGAGCGTCTTTTGGACGCTTCGACCGCGAAGGAAAGTGACGACTACAAGAAAATCAAGCAGCTGGAGGGGGACAAGAAAGTACTGTACGGCACCCTATCCAAATTCCGTGAAACGAATGTCAATAACTCCAAATCCATTCTCTCCCTGGAGGTACGCCTCCGGCAACTGGAGACCAAACTGGAGGCGGTGAATCTCTTTCTTCAGCATGTGTTTGCCCAAGTGGAGGAGGAGGAGGAGCCATTGGAAAACATTCCAGAGGACGCTACGGAGGTCCCGTTGCAACAGTTTGAGGAACTTTGCCGTGAACTTGAGCTCTCTCGGGAAACATTGGTCCAGCGCGATGACCAGCTCAATGCCCATGACGCGAAGGTGGAACAATTGGGACGTAAAACTTTTGTTCTTCAAAATGCTATTGCATCTCGCGCCACCTCCGCCCAGCTTCAGGTCAAAGGGAAGGAAAAAGAATTTGAAACGCTCATGTCCCACGTTGACTACATGAAGGCGGAGTTTGACGAGGAGTACAAGAAGCTCTCCCGGGAAAACGCCATGCTGCAGAGCAAACTGGCGCAGACGTCGTGAGAATTATGAAACACGCATACAATAATATTAGTTATTCGCTTTTTTTTTTTTTTTTTTTGTTTTGGTTTCCTGTTTTATTATTATTATTATTGATACCTCTCACCTTGTTTTGTAATATATATGTGTGTATGTAACGCAGAGAAGAAGGGCGACGCGAATGGTCCTTAGTGAAGGCAAAGGAGTGAAGAAACAACAAGGAGGAAGAGAATCCCCGAAGAGAAAAAAAAAAGAAAAAAGAAAATGACAAGAAATAAACGAACAAAAAAAAAATAATAACAAAAAAAAAAAGACGTGGATTGAAGCGGTGCATTAATTGTGTTTATAGGACTATGTTCCTACATGTGAGTTGGTTGCTTGGTTTGTGTGTGCGTGTATGTTTTGAATATTATTATTATTATTATTATTATTATTTTTTTTTTTTTTTTGTCTGTGTTTCTTTGTTTGTCTCTGTCGTGTGTTTTGTGGCACACGTCTCTCTTAACATTTTATTATTCAGTCTGCTAGGTTGTTGGGATGTCGGCCCTGTCTACAGAAGTCAGAGCGCGCTATCATATCGCCGTGTCTACCCGGTTTGTGGAGCGTCTCTCTGCCGCAGAGGGAACTGTCACGGCGGAGTACATCTACCACCGGGCTCTCAACGAAAATTTTAAGGACATCACAGATGTGGGGACGCTTCCGCACGGTATAGCTTCCCAGGTAAGCAGCACGTTTACAAGCCCAGTGGTACTTCAAGTCAACAGCTCAAGGGATGCTACGCAGCCCCTTCGGCCATGCGCCGATTCATGCGAGGAAGAAATGATATTTGCGGCTGCGTTTCAGAAAACGACGAACACACGTCTTCTGCGTCTTGTCCTCTCTGATGGACACTCGGAGATACCGGCAATTGAGCTCACTACCCTTCGCGTGTTTCGTGGTATACCTGTTCCAGGGGAGAAGCTCCTTGTTAAAGAGGGGACACAAATTAAAAATGGGGCCATCATCATGACGGAAGAATGTGTCGTGCCGCTTGGCGGAGAGGTGCTGCAGTTAAAGAAAGAATTTCTTTCCAAGAGGAA